GGAGCCCCCAGCTCACCCGAAGCTAGAGGGGATCTGCGAGGGGAAAGGGAAGCGGGGAAGGACCCCAAGGAGCAGCTGCTGCCCTTGCTACCCTTTTGTCTGTCCTGCGGTCCTTGTCTGTGTCCTGCTCATCAGGCTTCGTTTTATTGATTAATCGTTTGCTGCTGCTCAATGCGAATCCTTCGCCTCATCCACTTCTCCACTACTTCTCCATTTGGTCACATTAGCGCTCCTTCTACTTCTTCTTCTTCTTTATGCTCAAATTGGCCAATTTTCCGCTGCATTGCGCCATTCATTTGGCGTAGAGGGCCTTTAACCGAAACTTTTACCCACAACTCAGCCTACATGGCGTATACGCAATATTTCTGAGGGCTAAAAGCGAAAGTTGCTACGCTTTTCATCCGAGGGGTTTTTTTTGGAGCTAATCAGGGGAGAAAGTTTTCCAAGGGGGTTAGTGCAGAGGGAGGATTGTGACCCAAATGCTTATTGCTGGGTTAGCGGATAAAAGCATACATTTTTGATATCGATTGTAGACATTTTTAAGACCATCTTTCGCTTCTTCTGTTTATTATATATCATTCTTAGCTATCCCTTAATAATCTTTCAAGAACAATTAATTATAAAATAATTCAATGAATCAGTTTTGCTTTCCTTACAAAATAATATTGTTGGTAAGTAAGTTTTATAAAAAATTAGATTTAAGATTAGTTTAACAGAAGCAACTTTTCCGTTTAAGTTTTTCAATTAAAAACCCAAACGTTGAATATAAAATCATTGGTATTCTTCACTAGATATGATTATGGAGTGCCAAATTCAAAATCAACGAAATTTACGCGACTTTCTCGCTTAGTCCTGCCAGGATTATTTATAGAATACAGCCGTAGAATCCCATCGCGTTCAGAAATCTCGCCGCTAAATCAACTTTTTCCTTAATCCACCGTGCACCGCAAAGTGAAATCTATCAATCTGGAGTCTTGGGCCAGCTGCTTCCACTTCCACCACTAGCACTAGCACCACCCCGGGCGGGATTATAATCTGTAAGATGCGGCGCCCACGCAGAACTCGATAAATTGCTAGATTGCACAAAGTGGCAAGCTGCGAAGGAGGCAAAACAGGACGAGGAAGCCAAGCCAAGCCAAATGCCAATGCAAAAAAAAAAGGTGGAAACAAATGCTGGGGGCACGGGGCAAAATGGTAGTGGAAGTGGAAAAGATTATTGGAACACAGAAAGTTTTTCTGCTCGCTGTCGTCGCACACATGTGTCCGGCCGCAAAGGGGGTGGGGGTGTGGGTGAAAGGAACATGAAGGATCCGCAGGATGCGGGGATAAAGAAGTGCAAAGCGGACCCAACAAAACGCGGCTATAGTGTAATACAGCTCAGTGTTGTCAGCTGTCGCCAGGCGACAACAGCAACAAATCGTTTATGGCCCAAACACCTAAGCAAATATGTGGGAAAAGAGAAAGCGTTATCCTTCGCAAGGATATACCTCACATGTGTGTGGGCGACTGTATGCGTTTGTGAGTGTGATTGGCGTACATAAGTGAGAATGCGTGTAAAGTGTTTGTAATCAATCATTTATGAAATTACGCTACTTCCGCTTTTGACAATTTTCTTTCGTCGAGAAACGGCTTCTCCTTCCATTCCGTTCCCAATAAATAGCACCCAGCCATAAGCTTCCATCGACGCTCCTTCGATGACGTAAGGTTATGCGATGTGTGTCTATATGTAAAATGCAAATTTATACCCACTGCCACAAAGTATATGAAACAAAAAAACCAGAGGGGGAAAAGACACAAAATAAGGAAAATCCACCACATCAAATCGAAATCTCCGATGAAAATAGATTATGTCCAAACAGCAGCAAACTATGTGTGTGTGTCGACAGCAAATGCTGATAAATGTTTTCGCATGTGCAAGCAAGCCAATTCGGAGAATGTAAATACCTAAATAATATAAACTAAACAAAGGGTGATTGAAGCAATTGATTAAATTGATCAGAATTAGCCAAGTGCAAGTTGTTTTGCATAGCTTAAACTTTGACGCTTTTGTGCTCAGGTGAAGTTTAAGTTTTCATTTTGCTGACTCTAGAGGTCAACGATTTATTGTCGCTTTGTGCATACTAAAGCTATCTCATAAATATGCATGTGTTCATGGCATGCTCATCTATTTGTGATTTGTGGCAGCCTTAATTGAGTTTTAAGCAAATTGGCAAAGATTTATTTGTCTTTTTCTGGGACAACCGCTTTTCGATTTATCAGCAGTTTTAGTTTATTCTGTGCATGCAAATTCATGTAAGTAAATATGGCAATTACAAAAAAAAAACTTTTAGTCTTTAACATAAATATTTCATATATATGTTCTTATTTTTGGAAATTTAACTAAAATAATCACAAAAAAAAGGAATTAAAAGCAAAAAATAATTAACAAATAGCTATCGAAATCAGCAAAGAAATAAATAGTGATGATTTAGAGTCAGGCTCTTGAGAATTTGGCCCCATCATCAAAATCATATTGTCCTCTCATTATGCGGCCCTGAAAAACGATTAGAGTGTCCACAAATATGACCAAAATAATCGAAATGCCGCAACGATGGGACCATCAACGTCTTTTTGGGTCCGTGCTGCACCCAGAACTGTTTTCCAAACCGCAAATAAGGACATAAAATGTTGCCTTGAAGCTTCCGTTCCGGCCAATGAGTTTTCCCTTTGCGGTCGGCCACAATGTCAAGCCTTTTGCGACTAATTAGACGAACTTGCGGTCGAGAAAGGTGGGTAATCATAAATAAATATGATATGATGCCACATGCAATTGCCAGTGGAGTCGGAGCGAGTATTTAAATCGGTTAACTGGACATGCATGAGTGATATCACAGCCCAGTGTTACCGATACTGGCGGGGTTAAGTCCAAACTCTGGTCTCGGGCCATGTGCAAAAACGTGTTTTGTACTGGAATCTGGCCGTGTGGACGAGGCTGGCACTTTGGAAAAGCCAAGGAACCTTCTGCTGAATGGCCGACCAGAGAGAAAGAGGGCCAGAGAAGCGCGCGCAGTTGAAAATTCAAATGCTGCCGTTGGAAATCCCATTGCCTGCTGTCGGGCCATTTGGCAAGCTAAAGCAAATTAAAGTTTGGCTCCTGAAAATATTATAAAACTAAATGTTTGTGCAAGCTTACAGGATTCCTCCGAGGAGTTGCATAGCAACTTGAATATGTATTTTTATTTTTATGGAATTTTTTAACTAAACATTGGCCTGTTGAAACTTATATAAACTGCGAAAAAGTTTGCAGAATCCCCAAAGCCAGGGAAGCTGAGAGAGATTGAGAGAGAGAGAGAGAGTGCGTCCTGCTGACACCGCAAGAGAGAGAAATAGAGGTCCTGGAAATCTCTCACTAGCACTCTCTGCTAACTGATTTCCAGAGAGAGAGAGAGATTGAGAGAGAGAGAGAGAGAGGTGATTTTCGAACTAGAATTATGTTAAGGCTGCTGCTGGTGATTCTCTGCTGGTGATTCTCTTTTTGCCCTTTCTCCAGCCCCCCTTTCTCCACACACCCCCTCCTCGCCCCCTGCAATCCCTATCCTTCGGTTAGTTTAAAGCCCTTGTTGTTGTTGCCTCTGCGGCTGCACAGCGCATTAAATGTGTGCCACCAGGCGTATGCGTAATTTAAATTTAAATTTGTGTGTGTACATATGTCTGCCCCTAGCACCTGCAACCCACACCCACCTCGAGCCACCCACTCACATCTTGTGTATTTTTGGCCCGAGTTGTTGTTGGTGTTGTTGTTGTTGTTTTGTTGCCGTCTGCTTAGCATTTGCCTCAAGTTTTGTTAATCAGCGCAATTCACATTTCAGTTTTTTTTCTTTTTTTTTTTTTGTACTGCCTCGCAGAGATTTTGCAGTATTCAAAAGGTTTTTCCTTTACCCACAGAGACCCTCATTAGCGTAGTCATTGTTTCAGCCAGCTCCTCCGTTCGCCCCTTCAGCCATTTCAGGTTTTCAGGTTAAGGAAAGAAACCTCTGGCCGCCACTCGACGAATAATTACCAATTATATGGAACAGACATCAAATATGCAACCGAAATCTGGTGTTGTTATGTAGCGAACGCGGCAGAGCAACTGCAGCCGACGAGCTTAAGTGCCACAAATTAACCGCAACGCAGCGCGAACTCCTTCCCCGACTGGTCCATAATTACGCGACTGAAATATGAATCCTTGGACAAGAGTCCTGGTCTTTGGGTTTGGGCCAAAGGCGGCATGAGCCCTCAATGAGCTCTGCACTGAGAGAATGGCCAATGGCAGGGGCAGGGCAAAGGGAATTTTTAAATGCAAACAGGCATTTGTTCTTGGCGGATTAAAGCTTACTGTTTTTGACATCTGCTTTGCTACACAGGACCTGTTCACTGGGAGAATATCAGCTCGAAGAGCGCCTGATAAATAGATAAAGTTGTAGACCTTAAAAGCTTAACTTGGGTCCTCTGGTCGAGCACTGTAGAAAAATTAACAAAAAATAACACATTTAAATATTTCTTACGAAGAAAATAGCAATGGTATAAAAAAAACTATTAAAGGACTTTATTTATTTATTTAATTTATTGAACTACTTTTTGTGATCTAATGTCTTGCTTTTTTCACCTAGAACTCTGAATATCTGTTAATAATAAGTTAAAAACTTTTAAATTTTCACTTCTCAAATTTTCTCTTAGTGCAAAATTGCTTTTTTAGGGCCGTTGGTTTTGGTTTTGGTTTTGTTTTCAGTTTTTCCCTTTTTTCGCAGCTCAACTTTAATAATTAATGAGCAGCTAAAAATGTCACGCGGTGCGGAAGAGTTTTGGCCTGGGCCAAAGTGGAAAGCGAATGGGGTTGGGGCTTAATTGGGTTAAAGGGGCGTGGACTGTGGGGGGGTAGGGGATGGCCAGATAGGGGATTAGATGGGTTAAGGGTCAGGGAGCTTAAGGGAAAGTAAAGGTCTTTGCTTCTTGCAAGGAAATCAAAGTAGCCAACTCACCTTACAGTCGTCGCACTGATTGATCAGCGAGTAGACCTGCCGGCAGTCGAAACGGAACAGAATCTCGGCCAGCTCGCAGGTGATCCTGTTGGCCAGTCCGTCCACGTCCAGCAGATCGCTGAGCACGCGGACGCACTCGCTGCGATCCGATAGGCTGGCGTTCAAGGCCAGCGTGTGCAGGGCGCTGAAGACGCTCCTCTCGCAGCAGTTGCGCAGCCGCAGGACCCTCAGCCGCTCCAGCAGGTGACCAGGTGATTGGAGGCCACACAAATGCTGCGGACTCGACTCGGCGGAATCGCCCAGATATTCAAGGCACTGTTGTTGCTCCTCCTGCTCATCCTGCTCATCCTGCTGTTGGATCAGGATCGGCTCCTGGGCATGCAGATGGCTATAAGCAAGCGTCGGCTGCGGTTCCCGCACCAGCTCCTCCTCCTCTGTGGTAATGGGAATGGTGGTGGTGCTGGTGGAGAACGAGGACCCATCCAAATCCTCCTGGTCGTCGGTGGTGCTCATTGGCCGCTCGCTGGCCGCCGGGGCATGGCTCTCTGTGGCGTCCATCGCGTACTCCCCACCGCGACGCAAACGCATCTGGGCTGTCTTATAGTTTACGAAATACTTGACTTTATTGTTACTGGTGGCGCTCCGCTTCGCCTTGGAGGCCGCCGGCCTCTGTTGCTGCTGTTCGGCGCAGGATCGGGGGCAGATTGGGGGCCCGGGTCCCTCATCGACCCAGGCCATGGGCAGTGTACCAGCCGAGCACTGACCCTGCAATGTGAAGAGCGATAGCAACGGGAAATTAGTGTCCATGTTTATTTGGGAAGTTAATTTGGATCGATAAGTCACCAAAAACCTTAAACGCTTTTATGTAATTCTCCAGTGCCAAGTCCTTGAGAAATACAAAATCTACTATCTTTTAAACAATATATGTTTAAGGATTTTCCTTTCTAAATTGCTATTTTAATAAGGAATTATGTTATGTTATATAAATCATTTAGAAACGAAATATTTAATTTCCTAGTTCATTAAAAAGTACTAAGCCTGTTAAAGTTTAAAGTCTTAAACACAAGCAATCAAAGAAAAAAAATGGTTTTGTCTTAAAAAAGGAACTTAAAATTATCTTCATCAGAATTCTCTTTAAGGTGGAACCCAGAGATATAACTATATAACTTCAGCTCAATTAAAGTTGGTCACTTACAAGGTGCCACATAAAAGCAGGAAATAAAGCAGATAGTACCTCCAGGGTAATGAAACTTTAAGATCAAGAATAGAATGTCTTTTTTAAGGGACAATCCTGATTTAAGACTGACAATTGACGACTACTGTTTTCCAGAGATTTTCAGTCTAGATTTTATATGGCATTTAATCTTTAAGTGTGAAAGTGCTTAGAGGATAGAATCGGTTTACCAACGGAGGGGAATGGTGAAGAAAGCGATAATTCCCAGGAAAACTATAAAAATTACAAAAAAAAAAACTGAAATGTATGTTCTTCAATTGTAAAGGTTTCCCATAAATGCTTGAACACGGCAAACTTGATGCTTCTTATTCAGAAATGTGGAAGCAAAGTAATCTTTGCAATTTCATTTATATTTATTGAAATATTTCCAAGCCCTAACACTGCTGTTCCCTTCATTAATTAACTGTCTTGTGTGATTTAAAAATTAAACCAACCGACTGTAATAGCCACACACAATTACACCCCACCCCCACACATATACACACACACACACACTGGGGAAAACCAACCCAATGGGGAGCAACAGCCATCTGCAGCAGGAAAAACAAAGAGCATACTGGTATATTGGAAAAGTTTCGCTCGGCTAACAACAACAGCGAAAGTCATAAAATGCAAAAACAAAAAAAAAATAACAAGTAAATAGAAGCCAAAGCAGCGAACAACGAAAAAAAAACAGGAGCATTGAGTGCATAAAGAGCTGATGTTTTTTGTTATTAAAATGACCGCACTTCGTTGGAATTTTCCACATGCTTGCATAAAACTCAAGGCAGCGGATACAACAACAGCAAAAAAAAAACACAGCGAGGGGCGGAAAAGTGGGAGGAGGGGGCGTGGAAAACGAGTACGCGTGGCTGCAGAATTTCCGTAGAACACTTTACGGCATTTACTATCAATATTGGAGTACTCGTAGCTGCAGCAGAAGGACCTCACTGAAGTTGGTGCTGCAACAGGAGCTTTAACCTTTAGCGATTTAATCGTTTTCCGGTTATATCATGAATATTTACGAGCCTGGCAGGAAGAATTATTTTATCCCGATTGTTGGCTTCCACCTCATATTGCACGTTCGTAAGAGATGCTTATGGCCTCGAGCCAAAGTGCTTGAGATTTTTCAATTTAAACTGATTCCCGCGTCGGTCTATAGACATTCTACTCCAATTTCCCTTCGTTTTCAAATGGATTATAAATGTTGGTAGAAAGAAAAAATAATAAATGGTTTATTTAATGATGATCATGTGTTTTATTAAATTATATTGTAATTAAAATAATATTAGCTAATTTACATTCCAGCCTGAGCAGTATACAGTATGTATACCCAACTATTTTTATATTTTAAATGATAATTCTATATTTTTAAAACTACCAAAATCGAAATGTGTAAGGATTATTAAATAAAAGATTCCACATATAAATTATGTATAGTTAATGTCAAGAATGCTAATTTAACCTTTAATTGTTATGTCAACAATTAAAAAGATTCATGAAATAAATGAAAACTATTCAATTGTAAAGGTCAAACACTCTCGTTGCTTTAAGCTTTTCAGTACAATTTTAAATATCAGTTTAAGTCCGAATAATCCGACTTCTTGTTGGTTGAACAATACGGGCATTATTCCCTAGAGTATGCACCGGAAATTCTGTTTTTTTTTTGTTTGCTTGTTGCCAAGCTGAGAACAAATTCAGAGTCAGAAGCAAAAGCAGAATCAGAACCAACTTGCCCGCTGCGATGACCCTTTGAACTTTCGGGCTGTGAGTAATATGCAACAATCAACAACTCTCAATTGCTGCGTGTCCTGTGCGCCGAGCTCGGTGCTCTGAATGTCCTGTGTGCCCTTTTTCCTCCAGTCCAGTCCAGTTCAGTCCACCCATTTTGCCCCATCCTGGCGCTCAATCGTTTTCCATGTTCCCGGGGCAATAACAATAAGCAGCAGAGAATTTCACTTGCAATACGCACAAATATGCCCAGGCCGTGGGGTTTGGTGGCCAGAGCAGAGGGTCTTAACTCAAATGAAAAATCATACAAAAGGGAAACTAATACAGCAAGACACACACACAGGACATACACATCACCATACACACATACCCGTTGAGAAGGACGAGCACGTGTACGGACGGCCATTGTTGATTTAATGGCAGACCAGCTGCGGCCCAATGCACAACAATGCGGCTGGGGCGGGGAGGGGGGCCGGCAGAAATAGGGGCGTGGTGGGGGAATATGTATGGGGGGTAAAAAATAAAGATAAATTCTTCAATTCGCAGCAGGCAAAATAAGAAATTACAGTTCCTACCCGTGGGCGGAAGTACTGAAAAGGCCCCGTAACTCAACTACTTTCAAACTTTGAAAACTTTCCCGTTTCAGTTCGATTGCCAACTTCATAATGAGCCTCATTTCACTTAAATCAATTAATAATTCATTCAAGCCTACTTCGAGGCAACGAAAGCTCTTATTGCCATGAATTTTGTAAGCCCTTCAAACAGCATCCTTTAATATTTCCTAACTCAAAAGTGTTACAATCCATTGGCCATAAATGTCTAACATATAGGGCATATTGAATGCATTCGACTGGCTACATGAAATATTCATAACCAGTTGGGTAAAGGGGAAGGTGCAGTGAAATTGCAACAGGAATTGCAATGGCCAAGGACTCCTGGCTAGGATGCTGAAACATTCATGTGTGCAGGACAATCGCCAGCTGTCTGTCTCTGCGGCTGGGCAAAGTGTTCTTGTGCAAGTTGTCATTAACTTTGACTGTGGACCTGAAACTGAAACTGCAACTGACTGACGGCCAGATGGCTTTGGACTTTGGGCTTTTGTCGCACTAGCAATCTACAAGAGCGACCCCACCACTCAAAATATTATAATTCATTGGCATATTGAGTAGATCTGATAATACGGGGAATAACTTGAAGATATTGATACAAAAGCACGATTGTTAACCATAGTTCAAAAGAACCAAAAGTACAGATACCTTTTACTAAAGTATTGCCTTCTATATTCACTTGAATATACTATTAAAGGCCATTATAATAGCAATATGTAGGTTTAAGATATCATTTGAGCTTGTGGGATATATTTAAATGTATAATTTCAAATTATCTAAAATATCTTACTAATTTGAAGTGTCTTTTTAATAATTTCTAAAACCAATTAGCTTTTTGATTAAATTGAAATCTATAGATAATATACCATTTTTTTCCGTGGATCCTTTTGTTCCCGCTCCCTGTTCGCCAGGACATTGCACACGCCCACAGCAAGGAGAATGGGGGGCGCAAAAACTCAAACAATGCCGGCATAATGGAGTATGCATTATGGCTAATGGCACACGCCTACAACTACACATTTATGCCCTCTGTTGGATGGCCGGGGATGTCCTTTGTGGCTGTGATCCTTTGTGCACGGCTGTGAGCAAGAGGTGGCCAGAGGTTCAGCGGGGCGGGGCCACAATGTCTAATAAGCCGAGGTCCTAAATGCTTAGACAATGGAAGTGGACCCTCACACACACACACACATACAATGATGTCGGTTGCAGGAGGACGAAGGAAGGGGAAGGGAGGTCCTTTGAGGTCCAAGGAGGAGCTTCTGGCCCTTCTTGACCTATGACAGCGCTGGCCCGGCGACAATCTCTGATGGACATGTGACATGGCATTAAGGGCGGACGGTTAACCCCTAAATGCCCCGAGCCCTGGGGATATTAATGCCTTGATTAGTTGGGCAAGCGAAATATTATTCAAAACATTTGCCGAGTGCTTTTTGCCGGGGGCAATTGAAATCCATCAGAGCTGCCTTCTCGGCAGCAGGAATGTCAACTTGTGAGCCCAGAAAAGGGAAAAACGCAGAGTGCACTTGAGCTAAACACCAGCAACATCTACAGCGGCAACATCTACAGCAGCAACATGCAACTGCAGCAGCAGCAGCAACAACTATGTACAATGGCAAACGGCAAACGGAACCGACAACACTTTAAATGTTACAGCTTAACCTCGACGGGCAATTCAAACAATGTCCTAGCTCACACACACATTTACACACACACACACACACACACAGAGAGAGTCGTGCTGATAGGGACACGAGTATGCATGTGTGTATGTCAAATTTTAACGCCTGTCAACAATGCAGGCGGAAAAAAGAATGCAGCGGCAATGGAAACGACAACAACAGCCCAAGAACATGTCGCAAGCAGCACTCAAATTTTCAAATGCATGCATTCAAATGTGTGGGTGAGCGATACCCTGCCAAGGAAAAGGATAATGCGACTCTTCAAGCTGACTTCTCAAATGTACAATTTCCGGGAATTTTGATGCAAATTGCTTGGCAATAGAGTTCAGGCGTCTGGGCCAAGTTTAAAACAACAATTCAAGCCATTACTTGATTTTGAACATATGTTTTTTTGAATCGAATCATGGTTTGTTGTACAAATAATCAAATATTTAACCATTTCTTACCAAAGTCCTTAAAATTAAGAAAAGGGCTAAAAAAAATGCATTTTGATGCACATTCAATTGTTTAATTTTCTTTTTTGTTATAAAAATG